AAAATAAACTATTCATTTTTTTATAACTATATCTTAATATTTTTACACACAGGGTAATACAATAAATCAAATAAATAAAGAAAACACATGGTTGCTTTTCAAAACAAAATGTGTAAATTGCATAACTTTTTTAAAATCAATTGTGTGTTTTCTTTGCATTGATTGATGATTAATGCTTACAATTCATGTTAACAAGTCTTAAATACCCGACTCTGAAGAATTCTGAAAGAAAATGTAAACTTCCCGAATATTTCTGAGCGTTTCTGAAAAATGTTCTAATTTGTTTAAAAATTATGAGAAAAATTTTTATCAAAGAAGGCTTGAAAGTTACAATATGGCCAAGATTAGCATTTACAAAAAAAGTTTAATAAAATTTTAATCGTTATTACATGTGTGTGTGTGTTAGACACGATTTCGTTACCATCTTGTACACATCTTGTACTGACACCTGCTAATGACTAAAATTTTATCAGGCTTTTTTTTTTATAAATTAGAGTACAAAATGTCACTGGTCAGAAACTTTTGCGTACCTTTTTATATCATATTTGCCAAAATCAAGTTGATAAGTGCATTGTTAAACACATATACATTTTCCTTTGCTATTGATTGTTCTGTTACTATCAATTTTACATTCTTCAGTATTTTATTCAATTTTTGAATATACTGTGTGAGAACTTACCTACGAACATGTTTTAAGTGTAAATTTAAACACCTGGTTGTTGATACTATGTTATATGTTTTATTACAACTGTTGCATGTAGCAGTCATATTGTTTCCTGGTGTGAAGTAATTCCATATCCAACTGATTTTACGATCTTCCTTCTCCTTTTCTGTTAATTTGTCTGGATAGACCAACCTCAGGTGGCAAGGTAATTCAAGTACATACTTATAACTAAATACTTCAGAACAATGATTGCATTTCGCTTTGTTTGTGGTTAATTTTGTGTAATTTTCGACGTATCCAACGTCGAACTGGAATCCGTTCGTCAACTTTTTCTTCCTCCTCTGTTATTATATTATAAAACGTTTTGTATTACAAAATATTAATTATTAATTTATAAAAGATACATATAGATATAATAAAATAATTGCGAATGCTGTTCACAGAAAATGAAAATATGATTATTATTCGGAATAAATATAAATAATTGATATATTATTTAAAACTATCTAATTAGCAAATAATTCATACATTACTTATTAATCGATTACTCATATTAAATTTGTATAGTAAGCAATGCTTATATACGAAAATTAGAAAACGAAAGTCAACTAGGCATGTAACAAAAATTAAATCATTTTATAATTACTAATTTAAATTAAAAAAAAAACACTTTATAATTGTTATACGAGGGCAAGTCAATAAGTTCTTAGAAAATCTGTCAGAGGGCACTCCCAGTATCATATTACTTTTTGACAAATAGCATCTTTCAGTTGATTACTGTCAAATTTTGAGCGGAATTCATTGAGTAATTTCATTTCTGTAGACGATTAAAGCGAACAACCTTTGTATTTTTTGCAAAATGGAAAAAAACGAATTTCGTGCTGTGATCAAACATCTACATATGAAAGGTTTAACGCCGAAAGAAATCAAAACCGAGTTGGATAATGTTCATAGTACATCTGCACCAGCGTTTGCGACTGTATACAATTGGGTGAATGAATTTAAACGTGGTCGTACCATCACATCCACATATAATGCACCTCGTTCGGGACGTCCAATTGAGGCTGTTACGCTAAAAATCATCGTTAAAATCCACGATATTGTTTTGACTGATCGACGAGTGAAAGTGCGCGAGCTTGTTGAGGCTACAGGCATATCACATGGCACAGTGATTTCAATTTTGCACGAACAATTGGGTATGAAAAAGCTATCGGCAAGATGGGTGCCGCGTTTGCTCACTGTGGACCATAAGCGCAACCGTGTAACGATTTCAAAACAATGTTTGGAGATGTTTCAACGTAATCCAAATGAATTTCTGCATTGATTCATTACTGTAGATGAAACATGGATCCATTACTTCACACTCGAGACGAAGGAACAATCAAAACAATGGACTTCACTGGATGAACCAGCTCCGAAAAAGGCGAAGACCGTGAAGTCGGCCGGAAAGGTGATGGCCACAATTGTTTGGGATACACGCGGTATAATTCATATCGGTTACCTTCCGTCGAAGCAAATGATCAATAGCGATTACTACGTAGCCTTATTGGGTCGTTTCAACAACATTTTAGAGAGAAAGAAAAAAATGTTCCCATTTGGCGAAGAAGAAAGTGCTCTTCCATCAAGACAATGCACGAGTTCACACGTGCCCGGCACCGATAGTCAAATTCAACGAATTCCGCTACGAATTGCTTCTCCATCCAGCATATTCAGATTTAGCCCCCTGCTATTTCCTGTTTTTAAACCTGAAGAAATGGTTCGAAGGAAATCCACCAGAGAGCAGCTCATCGCCGAAACAGAGGCTTATTTTGAAGGTTGGACAAATCATATTATTCGGACGGCTTGACAAAGTTGAAGAATCGTTAAATCAAACGTATCGATCTAAAAGGAGACTAGGAGAAATAAAAATAAATCAATCAAAAAAAGTGTTTTACTATGTTTTTCTAAAAACTTATTGACTTGCCCTCGTATTATTCTCCGTTTTAAAAACAAATTCTCTATGTAAAATAATGTTAAATCTAAATTTCAATTCATATAAAAAGGTAATTGTTTTTATGCCTGTTCCACAATAATTATAAACATTATTTTAAGTAGTTAAGAATTACAATAACTAATTACAATCAAATATTCTTCACATAATCGACTTTATTGATCCATTCCGTTTACAACTATGCTTTCCAATATTATAGAATAGACAATAGCTGCAAAAGAAGAGTTAAACAGTTAAATTATGCAAAAAATGCAACTAAAAAGATCATAGATTTGGTGTCGGATTGAAATCAGTAAATCAGAAACACTATTAGCGTTTAAGATAATAGTGTTAGTTTGTATAGTAGTTCAGAATTGTCTTCAAAAAGAACAGACTTTTTGATCCAGCAAACACCAACTATTAGTAACATGACTTTAATAATTTAGGCACAATGTTATCAAAATATCAACGGAAAAGTGATAGAAAGCAATTCACTTGGGAGCAAATGACAAAGGCCAAAGAACATATTGCTATAGACTACAGCATAAAAGCAGCAGCTCGATTCGTGGGGGCATACGAAACAACATCATGAAAGAGATTAAAAGAAGTAAGTTTATTTTATTTACATAGACTTACCTGTGCACTAAATTAATAATTATTTTTGCTTAGCTTTAGACAACTAAATTAAGATATTTAGATGAAACTTTATGCTATTTTCTTTTCAGGGACAGTATCATTAAATTTAGGCAGATTCAAATCAAGCTTTTCAACAGAAGAGGAGGAAGCTTTGGTAAAATTGATCAAGATCATAGATGATATATTTTATAGAGTATCAAGAAAACAATTAATGGCAATAGTGTATCAATATGTTGAACATAACAATATTTTATACCATAATTTTAAACATGAAAAAAATGATAGGAGAAAAATGGATCAGAGACTTTTCTGTGAAATATAGATTAACTTTACAACGTCCAAAGAAGTTTTCAAGAAGTGTCCTTAAGTTCAACAAGGTTCGGTTTAACAAGTTCATACAGTCACTAACTGCAGTTTGCTGAGTGCCGCTGGCTACTACGTTCCATCTACTTTAATTTTTCTTCAAAAAAAGTATAAGCCAGAATTTTGTAAGAGAGCGCTACAGAATACTTTAGATGTAGCATCTAATTGTGGATCTATGAATTCAGAACTATCCGTATCCTGATTAAAACACTTTACAAAATATATGACATCATTTCAAGATAGGCCGGTATTCATATTAGACAATCATATATCACACTGCGGTTTGCCAGCAATTGATTATTGTCAAGCGAATGGCATCATTTTGTTATCTTCATCTCCATATGCTAGCCACAAATTACAATCACTTAAAATAGCTTGTTTTAGATCACTAAAAAAGTTTATGGTAGAAGAATGTAATCGATTGATATTACAGCACCCCGATCAGCCGATAACAATTTATCAAATAGGAGAGATTTTTCGCACAGCTTATCACAAGACTGTTTCTATTGACAAAGCAGTTAACGCCTTTAGAGATACAGGAATTTTCCCCCAGAATCCCTCTGTTTTTCGAGAAGAAAACTTCACACCAGTCTCATTTATGAAGAATTAGTCAAGCATTCTGAAGATAATGGGTTGGTAAGTTTAGAGACGCGATAGATGTAGTAAGCTTTAAGCTGCAAGAAATATAGTAATCACAGTCGATTATTCTCTTCATCTAGTTGTAATTAGCCAATATCTTACGGCTTAAAACTTACTATAGTATAGTGGTTGTACTCAATGCATCTTTTTATTTATTGAGCTTTTTCTGAATTCTAATTCTTTTTGTTTGAGATCATAAATTCATAAAAAAAATAATAATTCTTGTCGTTTAACTAACATCAATTGTCATTGGAAACGTGTGTGAAAAATGAGTCGGTGAATTCTTGTGCACAATCATTAATTTGTCGTTTTTTTTTGTAATAAATTAATTTGTTTATACACACACACACACATAGACAACGGACCATCGAAGGTTCGAGAACAATTCAATCACGCGCGCGAGCGCAGCGCTCCGACGAACACGCGCGACCATCAATCTCACGCGCGGATTTTCTGAATTTATTGTTGTAGACAAGAAATAAAGTAAATCTTTTGTTAAACTACAAAGGATGTATAGTAGTTCTTCTAACTTTTGTGCGTTATACCAGCCGTGTGCTCTCGCTTCATTCGTTCACGGGGTGCACTCGTACACACTTTTAATATTTTAAATTTTATAGAAAAAAATATTGACGTTTAAAGAAATAAAGTTTATCTTAAAGAGGAAAAAGTTAATACATTATAAATTATAAAAGTAATTAGATTAAGGCCATAAAAGATACCTAAGGCCGGCCGTTTTTAATAATATCTCATCGGTGATTCTAATTATATTAGGCTTGAAAAGTTTCTTTCAAATTTTGCGCTCTGCGTTGTCGTGGTAATCAACAAGTACAAATGGTCCAAGCGATTTGTGTTACAGTCCCTAAAACTAAGAGGCTGTGCGCAGTAGAAATATTAGAAATAGAAATAAGTATTAAGAAATGTATGAAAAGTGCGTATAAAAATAAGATATTCAACAAAAGTATAATTTTATTTATATTTTGATATTTTTACATCATTTTATATATAACTTTATATATAAAATATATACAAATATTCTTTACAAACAAAGACACAATTTTCATTTTTGCACGAAATGATTGAATCTGACAAAAATAGTGTCGTGAAGCGAGATATTAAACATTGAAGTTGATCTGTGTCAGATTAGAATGCTTAAACCTATTCTACAATGTGCTTTTTGTTTCCTATTTCTTGCTTTTTACTATTTTTTACATCTCGTCTTTTTGCTTCTTGTTTTTGTTTTATGTCGCCCGAGATAAAAGTTAACGAACTTCGAAAGAAACAAAAAATACATAGTAAGAAATGTAATGATCGATAATACGGTTACAAAGGAGAAAAAGTAAAAGGTAAACAAAGAGCACATTGTAGAATAGGTTTTAGGATATGTTATTGGTTGCGTTCAGCGGACTCTTCTTTTTCTTTACTTATTGGCTCTCGCCTCCAAAGAAAATGATAGGAGGATGATACGGCCAGATCACGTCCAAATTTAAGGCTTGCTCTGTTAATCAGAGCTCTGGTGTGTAAGTTCGATATTATATCCCAGAGCTCTGATTGGACGGCTCGTTATTCCCTGTTGTCTGTACTTATTCTCTGTGCCTATTGTGTTTAAGCCTTTAGAGACCGAGCGGTTGTGTTGTAAACGGGCACAAAGAATATATTATAGTATAGTGCGCTAGAAGTGGAGGACGCTCGCACCGACAATCACGAGTAATGGCTCCGCTAGATTCATGTTCAGATTCCCACTCGAATGTTCTCCGAGTGTCATGTCATCCTTGTTTAATGTTCGGAATGTTTAAATAACATGGATAGTGATACAGAGTAGCACTCGGGTGGAAATCTGAACATAGAATAGAAGGGAGGAGGTAACGATAGGACATTGCGCCTGCGCAACCGTCTCTCGAAAAGGCGTGAAAAGAGATACAGAATCAAAACGGTTTATTATAAGCTT